AACTGCTAGAGTATAAAATTGTAAAGCACCGCAGATTTGGTGGGATTTCTAAGAGGATCAAGACTATAGCTTTTAAAGTGGTAGGTAACAGGTAGCCTTCATATAGTTTTAAATAAGACTGATACCAGTAAATCAATTTATAGAATTCCTTCTTTACATAGATGGTTTATCGAAAGAGTATTTTGAACGACATTTAAAGCTATCAACCTTGTGTTTATAAATAAGTGACTGGTTGATTGAGTCAAACATGTTATGGTTGTATGCTGATGCACAACCGAGGCTTCAACAACCCCCGGTCATTTGAACTTTTGAAGATTGGTTCGTTCAAATTCCCGCCCCTTGGGCTAAAATTGTGTTCAAAAGCCCTACCCAAGAGCCCGATTTAATAGTCAGGTTTTTTTTTTCCCGTAAAATCAATTTCCGTGACTTTCTCCTTATTGACTAAGCTTTGAAACCTAGACCTTGTAGAACTTACACTTGTATTCCCACCCCAGCGAGGCCACCTCCGAGTCAAATACCTGTGGGTTGACCTTGAGCTGGGGTGAAGTTAAAACTTCAAATTTATCGGCCAATTTGGAGGAAACGGTATTCAGTAATACTTTAATTAAAAGTTTCCTAATCGAGTCTTGAGCGTTCGGTGAAAAATTAATCTTATTAAAAAGTTGCCAACGCTAACGAAGAAAATTGAAAAAGGATGATACACCAGAGCAGAGTCTAATCGAAGAGTCAACGGTAACAAAAATGTTGTGAGTGTCGAACAACAGATCCAAAGAAAGCTCATCGACTCCTAAACCCATCAAAACACAACCGAATATATTTTAACAAGAAGCCTCTGAAACTGAACTAGGTCGTTGTGGAAGCCCTCATTCAACCAGCTCTAAATCTCACTTGTGCCCAAACTTGATTTGAGAGTTGGCGCATCCAGCCATTTTAACCGAACAAGCTTGGTTAATAAAGGATTCATCATATAGCAAAAAGATTTGCTTTATTAATTTCATGATTAATTTTGATCATTAATAATAATAATAATAATAATAATAATAATAATAATTTATAGACTTCTATTGCGCAATTATCAATATAAGAATTTTCGATTGCGCATTAAAGTGATGTCATTGTAATTTACATACCAGGTAACTGTATTGCTGTAATAGCTTTGTGTGTGTGTTTTGCTTGGTATTCTTCTATTTGTACTCTATAAGTGTGTGTCTTTTTCTCTTTTTTTTCTCTTCCTTAATTTCTATTTCGTATGTAAACGCAAGAAATGCTTTCATAAAAAAGAAAAAAAAAAAAGATTTGCTTACTAATAATAAAGAACGACTTGTCTATTTTAAGAGTCGGGAATGAAAGCCAACGGTGTTTATTGCATAACAAGCCAAAGGGAATATTTTATGTTTTCTTTGTTTTTACTGTCTTCTGCCGCTTTTTGCGACTTCATCACCGACATTGTCGAAGAATTACGATCTTTGTAAGTCCGCTAAGTAGTGAAATAAGGCCGGACAAAAAAATTCATTGCTGCTTAAGTAGTGTTCATTACCGAGATCGCTTCCATATTCAAAGATAGAAAAGATGCAAATTTTTATGATCATTTTTTTTCAAGAGCATCACTAATCAGTGTCTTAGAAGCAGTTACATGAAATTGTAGACATTGAAAGTAAGAGAATGGAAGAATCTTCCAGTTGCTCATGCTACTTTATTCTAAAGTCACCATATCACAATGGTCTAGAATATAAGTAAGACATGTAAACAATCATCTTACACACGAGCCTTAGCGATAGGGTGTCAATCTTCGTCTGCTCGAGTTTTGTCTCGAAGAACTCATTCACTTAGGAAATTAGTGGGTTATTGAATTTCCCAAACCAGGGGAGAAGGGGAGAATTATCAAACTTTTAATAATCGTGATAAGGGGCGTGGTTTTCAAATGTGTTATGTGCAATGTCAGCCTATTTTTCAAAAACATCCGCATTAGTATTTCTGACGAGCTTTCAGTGAATAGACTTAAAGTGGGAAATAAAAGATTACTTCATTGAGTGAAGCGTTTTGTGTTCATCTGTTAATTGAAGCACGCAAAAAATGGCGAGGGAGTGGAACACCGAAATAGACTCAGAGAGTTAATAAAAAGTAAGACTTTTGACAACGTGCTGAACACAATTAGAGACTGAGGCATTTTTTCTCTTATTCGAGTGCCGAGGAAGGATAACTCAAGAGGACGGGATATAAAAGTAACTACAGAGAGAAAACGTTGCTCATTTAGTCAGAAATAGCCAAACGTTGTAACTGTCGAACATTAAAAACTAAATGGGGTTGTGCAGCTCAAGTTTTATCAAAACGTAACAATCTGATTGGCCACGCTACTCGCCCTCAGAGTCTATTCGGCATTAAGTAGTGAGTAGCCTACCAGTGTGCGTTAGAAGCAAAATGAAATAAAAGTGTAAGCCTGTTTTGTGAAATTTGGACGACTGGTAGATTTAATATAAAACGATAAGATTATTCGCTGTTTATTTCCAAACGTGACAGGTGATTCAGGCTTCGCACTCAGCAAAGTTTCCCACAAGATATATCAAGCTCATTATTCAACTATTAACCCTTTCACTCGTCCTTACTTGAAAGGGGGGGGGGGGGGAAGAGAATTTGAACCTTGCCTGCGTGAGGTGGGGAATTTGAACCGAAAGTATGAATGCAAGTGTTATATCTTTGAATATGAAAGTTTCAAAGGTAAATAGTTTACTTTCGCGAGGTAATGGCTTAGAAGAGAAAGTCTACAAGGTCAAGGGTTTTAAGGCTTGGTCATGAAATGTAGAATTTTGCTTTTTACCAAAACGATGGGCGGGAATTTGAACAAACCATTCCTTTGCCCGGAGATTAACGCAAGGGAGGATGCCAAAGCTTCGAATTGAACGACGCATAAACTCTAATTTAGACTACAGTGTCTACAAAATTGAGTGTAGAGTGCCAAAATAATCCGAGGTGTTAATAATCTGAGGTAGACCGGAGAAATGGCCTGTGAGCGGGTTAAAAAGGCCAAGTTGAAGAAGCTAAATTGATTCTTATTCTCCTAACAGTTGTTTCGTGCGTCAGCTGTGCGTTCATGGGAAAAATTTTAAAAGCACTAAAGGTGGTAAAGAGTTTGTTGAGGCGTAGCCGGGGGTTATCCTAGCCTCTTAGATTAATGAGCGCTCAGCTGGCCCGTGAATGAGTTATTTTATGACTTTTTCCGGGGTGTTAGCAAAAAGATGTATTATAAAGAGTAGTTTATCGTCAGTGCACACGCACGTTATCATTTTTCACAATTTATAAAGTCAATTATACACCCGTTTTGATAGGTTCTTACCTATGATCTTTTGGAGAATAGACGTATAACGGTCGTCACCTTTACCAATGATTTGCTCTTTTTCTAATCATGTACAACAAATAGATTTCATGTTGCCGCGGGTCTGTACAGTAAATACGTAGATTAAGACATAGATCAATTGAATCAGATGACAATAAACTCGCTCGTTTTGCGTTCAGTTTGACCGGTTCTACGATCGCGACGATAGCCTCTGTCTTTGCAATCTCTGAGGAAAGGAGCAAATTGCAGTGAAACTGTCAGATGACTATTCGGTGAAAAATCATCGTGCCTCGTGACACAGCTGATTCTTTCGCCAAACTTTAGCTTTTAGTTTACTGAGGGAATTTCTCCACAGCGGCAAAACTCTAGAACACTGCCCGAGAGGAACCTTCGCCGCACATAGTGCGAAGGAATAAAATGTTATGGCAACAGAAACGAACACAGCTATTCATTCTTATGATAGATTTCGCCATAGAAAACAAAACACAAACGCAACAAGCTAAACATTCAGTAACGGGAATTTTTTGCTGTAATCTTGACCTGAACACCGCAGGCGAGAAACCGTCTTTGTCAGTCATCGTCGAAATCTTCGTTTGATGCACGCGGTTCTCCTTCAGAGGGGCTGAACCGTACTCGCAACTTCCATTTCCTCTCTACTACTTGAGTACGATGTATCACAACTCTCCGTAGAGCTTACTGAAGGTGGTACACAGAGTTGTGAGAGATTTGTAAGTGTCAACTGAGAGTTTTCACAGTTTTGTACTTCATCAGCCGCTAATTCGTTACCAGTCCACGGGACACTTGAAGGACAAAATAAGAGCACTTTAAGGCCCGAAAAACCGAGTTTTAAGTTTTTTGAAATTTTTCTTCTATCGGAATTGGCTTTTACATATGATAAGCTAGATGTTTACGCAAAAAAAAAAATTGTGTCATGGGCACTTTTGATTACTCTGTTATACTCACCCACCGACGCAGCACCACAGTTTCCTTAGAAACTTACCTCCTTTTGACATGATATCATGTCGAGTTCAAAGTCGTCCGAGTAATGCCTCTTTTTGCAGGTTGATTAAAGAATGCATAACAAAACATTATCATTGTCAATGAATTATAAAACCTCGTGTTTATGTTATCTACCGAAGCTTCAGACCTCGGCATTGATAATTCATGATATCATGCTCAACCTCATCCAATAATTGCTCATTTTTCTCTTGAAGTTGAACGAGCGACAGTAAGAACTTGAACAGACTTGTCAGTGTTTGATGGGATGCAAAAAAAGGCTGACTGTGTCAGTGTAATTACATACTTGAGAGAGTATATTATCAAGTAATCCTGAACATTTTTCACGAAAAAATGTGGTGAATTGCATGAGTTAAGTAGGCAGTGAAGTAGGCAGGTCTTCATTAGGATGCGAAATAATGAACTAGTTTCTTTGTTTCAAAAAAATTCTCCTTGAGGTACCTCCGCTCGACGGTGTGTGATAACAGGAAGATCGTAAATTTCCATAACGAAGTTGCTAAATTGCAAAACTGCGTTGATTCAAATGCAAATTATCTCTTTAAATATACCAAAATCTGCCAGAGTTTACAATAGGTCTTTGAGTTTCCTCCTCTTGAATCCTGACCCGCCACAACAGCATTCTGCGGTAAGGGTGTCATGTGAGTTTAATTGTCTCAAAGAGCGGTGCCATAAACGTTCTAGAAAACTTATTTTTGTGGAGCGGAATTAGTCAGGTTCAATTTGAACGGTAAGCCTTATCTTAAATGGTTTAGATCGTATATGGTTTGAAACTAGGACTAACTGTTAATCTGTGGTTAAGTCTGATTGTCCGAGGGAGAGTAATCTTAAGAGGACTGTTGTCGATAACATAAAAGTCACTGACGTTTGGACAACCTCAGGAAGGGGAGAAAGTCATAAATACATCCAAACGCCTTATCAAATTACGAAAGTCGGTTCTTGTAACACGATTTTATTTTCCAAACTAGTTTTTAGTTCTATGAAAATACGCCAGCAATGGCATTCAACGAAAACTTCGGTTAAATAATACAACAGTGAGTTCTACTATTAATTACCTTCGTCATGCTTAAGGGCCCGGATGAAAGAATGCCAACAAACAGAACATTAGTGCATAGCCTGAATGCGATCAACGGGCAAAGCTCAGCCAAGAGTTGCTTTTCGTTGCAATACCTTATCAAATAATACTTTGAGAAGGGTAACTTGATGACAGGAGAAGACGAATGCTGCGATCTAATTGATTGACCATGTAGACGTAATCGCTATAATACGCGGACAACTTTCATAATGAAAAGAAACCATAGCAACCACGTTCAATAAACTTTGTTCCTAATTATAATCACAGGTTTGACTCCTTCGTTTCATATAGGATATAGGGAGGCAATAATTTTTCATATAATGAGAAGTTGTGAGAAAATAAAAAATGAAAACCAACGGGGTTTTGGAATGTTGAAGAAATTAAAACAATTTATGATTATGCAAAGATAGTACTTAACATCGCTCATATGCCCGACATCATCAATCATTCATAACCATTGAAGCGGGCAAACTTGAGTGGTTTGTGAAATTACGTGGCATCTGGCCATAACTTGTGCATTAAAAGAATTTCAAAACTCTGTAGGCACGAATGTGATATTTAAAGAAATTCATACTAAAGCAAAACAACCAATCAGATTTCAAGACTCGTTTAAAGTAACCAATCAAATTGAAGTAAAATAAAAGACAGGAAGGCCATTTGGGAAATCTTGCAACAAATTACAAACAATCTCAGTACTGGATCAATAATATTTTGTACTGAATTAAATATTCCTTTATTTTGGCAGGGGTAATTGCACTTCGTATCGCATAATCTTAGTCTGAAATCATACTTGTGATTCAATAGAGCTAGTGCTGCGTTCTGGCTTGATTGTGAAATCACACGGATGATTTCACACCAGACACTGCACAAAACAAATTTCTGAACCACAGAAATGCATCGATATATGTGCTAACTATCTTTTTAAATATTTCAAAGATCTATTGACTCAACTTGACGCTGAGTGTAAATATAAGAATTCAACTTGATTTTCATCTACGGGCCAAATTAAATATTTTTCATGAAAAGTTGTTAACATAATCCTTTACGGGAATTTCTTACTGGGAAGCGCAGATAATGCCCGTCCACTGACTATTGCACCGTCACATTATCACTTTTCATCGTTTTCTCGACCGTCGACTCTTGTTTTGTGGCATTATTGCTTGTTTAAAATTTTTTTTGTTTTTTTTTGTTCTGCCATTTTTTAATTGTAATACATCAATGGAGGTAAAAGGAATTACACATACATTATTATGATATAATATAATATGATATAATATAATATAACTGAAAATTTGGCGAGGAATCCTGTCGAGAAACCAAGAGGCCTATGTGAGCTAAAGGCTTCTCATATTTCACAATTTGAGATATTAGTTATACGGTATGATTTAGATACATAATATTTCAGATTGAAAAGGAAAGAACCTACACACATAAAAAAACACATAAAAAAACACCAACACTTGCTGGCACTCAAACAAACATATACTGAAGCAGCTTGAGAAAAGTAAGAAAAAAACAGGACGTAGGAAATCAACTTAGGAGTAATTTTCGCAATTTAGACTTAGACAGGGAAAGTGTGCTACCGTAAAAATTAAAAAAGAACAACATTTTATTTGCATTCTATATGCATAGATTGTGTTTCATAAAAAGAAGGTAACAATGATAAATACAGCAATAAGGGATTAAATCAATATCAACACCAATAAACAAATGAGACAAAATTCGTCTATCCAGTTTCATGTTTTAACTGCGACATGGGTGGGCTCCGGGTGTCTTCCTAGATTGTATTGTCAGTGGTCGGGACGAGTTGTATTAGACTGTCTCTTAGTTCTTTCCTTAGACTTCTAAGTCCTTTCTTGACGCCAATTTCATAGACGCAAGGAATCTCGATGCCTCCTCCTTGAACCCTTACACCTTCAGGCGCCCTCCTGCTTTAGCCAGATACACAGCAAGTCATCTTTTCCATCAATGGCTTGTAAGTCTGAAACACTGCGTACCTCTATTCAACAATTTCACAGATATTTCAGAAGAACGGCAACAGTTAAAGCAACTGAGCTGAAGGGTGAGCTACTTATGCAGAAAAAGGAGAAAAGTCAGTATGGACTCGGACGACAGGTGAAGGCCATGATAAGAGACTGTACCGTGCAACTGACCATATTTGCCGATGGTGAGCCTTGCATCAAACCTTTGTGGATCTTTAAGGCACAGGACAAAGAACTCCAGACGGAGAAAAGAGGCAGTATGATCCAAGAGTCGTGGTCAAGTTCCAAGAGAACGCGTGGTGCAACGAGGAAATCATCGTCTTCTGGCTCAGAAATATGTTGAAGAAGCCAAACATGTTTGGTCAACCAGGCGATAGACTTCTAGCTTATCTATGATGCGCAAAGAGCTCAAACAACAGAGAGGGTAAAGACCGTTCTGACGCAAGAGTGCCAGACGACATTGGGGCTTGTACCTTACGGCGCAACGAGCAAGGTTCAACCACTCGATGTTACATTTAATGCGGAATTTAAGAAAAGTGTTGATAGACTAAGACTAGACTAGCCACGGAACACTTTCCGCAAATCCAGAGCGCTTTATGACGGAAAAAGTGACTGCTGGTGATCAACGTGTGCTTTTCACGAAATGGGTGGGTACGGCATGGCAAGAAACCTCGCACCGGCTGAAAGACAGTTATCCGTTCATTTGTGGAATGCGGGATTTCACTACCCATTTCCTGCAACAGGGACAGTGAAATAAATATCGATGATTTACCGGACTACCGCGTGGGTGAATCAGCCGATATAGAGCAGATCGAGTTCTTCACTGACGCAGAGGAGGAAAGCCAAACTGCTACGATTGTACTGCATGACGCACCGCTGCGTTTTAGTCTGTACCCCGTACCGGTATCTCAGTATCATTTAATTGGAAGAAATGTTCATGTTAATCAACGAAAACTATATAGAGTTTTCAATTTCGATTTGAAGAAACGTTGCTGTTGTTAATACGAAATTATACCGGTTTAGTTCTTCTTACTGATATCAAGGACGAATGGTGGCATAAAGCTTCCCCTTGTTGTAAATGAAAGTGTCTTATCGTGAAAAATTTGTGACACTGCATGAACATATTATTGTACACTAAAATTTTGAGTATTGATTGAGAAATTAAAGGTAGACGGTATACAATTAAAAAATCGGTCTCGCTGCTTTCGAGGGGGGGGGGGGTCACTACTTTCGGGATTTACTTGCGGCCACAAAAAATTGAAGTTAATTTCGGGGGGGGGCGCTACTTTCGGGGGGTCGCTACTATCGAAACTTTACGGTAACATTTTGGATTTCTATATTCAGAGAATTGAGAACTTTAGGTCCTAGGAAACATAGCACAAACTGTCTAATATTTGTTCTGTAAGGTGGTATCTAAGAGAAACTGCATCGTCTGGTGTAATAGCTAAGAATGCTACTCGAAAAAGAAAATAATCTTTTAAGAGCATCTGGAAGACGGCCTATCTTAAACAAAAACACAATCTTCCTAATTGGAATCGATATATATTGTTTAGATTAAGAATTTTCAACCGCTTACATATAGGTACAGCATGAGCGGGATAAGTACTTCTTGAATAATTCTTACCACCTTTTTCTGGAGTAGGATTGTACTTTTTTAATGCGTTCTTCGAAAGAGAAAAAAGCCTGATCGTTGATTCTCTGCAATCCTTACGGGAGTGTTTTTTTCTTTCTTTCCTTTAGCTTATTTAGCCGAGTCAGAAACTGGATTAGCAGGATTCAAAACTGATTCTCTTGGACGGATGGCTGATTCAGAAGCCAGCAATGAAGGTTTTTATGTTCATAAATTCATAAAACGGTATCAGTTTTACTCATTATCCCTTCCAAGTCGTTCCTTGTTATTATTAGATATGGCATTCGGAATTATAATTAATGCGGCTCTTATTAAGTCACAATTTTTGTTGAAATGATGTTTCCTTGTTTTGCAGCCACCTTTAGGGATATACCATTTGAACAGGCTCCTGTCGATGAAATCCACTTATGGTCAATATGTGATGATGTAGGCGCAAAATGGAGAGACCTGGGTACAGTCTTAAAGCTTGAATCAGCGTTCATGGATAATATTGAAACTGATTTCAAAGAATGCCGTGAAAAGGCATGGATAATGCTTCGAAAGTGGAGACAAAAAAATGGAAAAGAAGCAACAGTGGGAATCCTTCGAAATGCTCTTGTAAAGATTGAAAGGAGAGACGTCGTCGATAAACTGCTTGGTACGTAATCTCCTCTTGTAAAGGAAATCTCTCAATACCAGGTTTATCCAGTTCTATTTACTTTCGTAATGAAAAACTGAACACCTATGCAGAAGAGGGTTAATTCGGTACAAAGAAGTAACAAACCAGACATCTGATCGGTCAATAAGCAAGGAAACTCACAGATAGCCAATCAAATGCGAGCCTTGGATGTCGCAACATTTAGATATGCCGAAAATTTACGAGCGAAACAATGATCAGCGTTTTAGGTAGGTTTTCTTTCGCCACCGCAACAACAATACAACGGTTTAAAAACGGATCTAACAACGAAAACACTGTAGAAAGCACTGCTTTTAGGTTGTCGGTTTGGAAAAAGTAGTTTGATCGTACGCGGTTGTTTTGACCGAACGCACAGTGTCACTTGCAGGTTTGAATAAATTATTTTTGCACTTGATGTGCGCGCTTTGCTTCTGCATAATTATGATAGGCTATCTCGTATTTTCTCATGAATATTATTAATACGCAATCACTTGATTTTTCTTGTGCAATTTGAAATAACTAAGCACTTGTTAATTTTTTCAAAGACCACAATTTAGTTGGTCGTTGAAATCATTTGATTACCTGTACAAATCATATCAAATGAATATATTAATAAATCGGTTAAGAAACCTCATTATAACCACTGTGAGATTTTGCATACAAATTGTGACATGATGTCTAGTTCTTGCCGAATATTTTGATATTACTATTTTGATAGTAATTGTTTTTTTTTTGCTAAGTTCAGTCAATTGTTGTACAGCATATCATGATTTTCATTAGCAAAGTTCTTTTAGTTGTTGTCTTTTCTGAAGAAGTCAGACTGCATGTTTTTTAAAGTTTTGGTAAAAGTTGGGCTGAATATTAGCCCATTTATATCGCTAATAGCCTTGTGCTATCTCTTTGATTCGGTAAGAATTTTCTTTTGATGGGGTTTTCGGAGAAAAACGAATATTTCAAGGTTTTTCAGCCAGGTCCTCATTGGTATCATAACGATTTAAAATGAGCAATTTTAAAGATGATAATCTGGAGATTCTTTATATACAGAAAGCCGAATATTTTTTGCGTTGTTCTGGTTTGGAAAAGAAACTAAGTGATACGAACACAGAGAAAGAAACATTAAAAACAAAAATCATCCAGGTAGAGCTTAAGCAGGAAGACGATAGGAAAACAAGGAATGAAGAGGAGAAAAGAAGGAAAGACGAAAACATACAATTCGGCTTGTTCAACTGAAGTCGAGTCAACTGAAATTGGACGATTAATGAATCACCAAGTGATGCTGTGGTAACAACATTTGTTTCTTACTTCATTTTATAAAAGATGAAGCACGACATTCGGTAGCAAAGTATACCGAGTGTGTAGATACTTATCAGTCGGTTTAGAAAAGATACTACCGTTAGGGACTGGGAATGTCAAATGTTTCATCTTTCTTTGTTTTTTCCAAATTTTAAACCTCTTATAGCACTAGTGAGTGGTCTCATTTTGTTCAATATGAATTAATTTGTTTGATCGTCTTTTCTTGTAGCTCTAGTTTGTCTTTTTTCCTTCATGCAAGGCTGTTGTCCGATCGCTACTTCACTAAAATTTTTTTACATAAGCTCTCATTGACGTTATGTTAATATCAATTGAATTATTCTAATCTGAAGATTGTTTATTTAGAAACGAATAAATGTTTGCGATGTTCTAAGTTGGAGAAGGAACTCAAGGATTTAAAAGCAGAAAGAGACACATTAAAAAACAAAATCTGCCAACTCGAGGGCATGAGCGCAGACGACGAGCAGAAAAGGATGGGCACAAAAACAAAGGATGAGATAATCAAAGATCTTGTGGAAGAAAAGAAAATGATGAAGAAACAGATTGAAGGACTAAAAGCCAAGGAGGGGGAACTGAAATTGAAGTTACAAGTTCAAACAAATCCAGAGGAGCTGGATCAGCTAAAGATTCAAATTTTTGACCTGTTGAATCAAATAGAGGAGCTCAACAGAAAAGAGAAAAGCTCTGAGTCAGAATGCTAGAGGTTACAAGAGGAGCTCAAGAAGTGCAGCAAATTCCGAAGTCGTAAGTACATATGAACAAAGATAAATGTGCTGTGATATCCACTGTTAATTTGTTTCATTTTAAGGTTGTTTGGCCATGTGTTAACCCTAACACCATAAAATAACATTCATTTACCATTAAACATGACATTTTTGATGGTAAATGAACGGGACAGTAGTTCGACTTTTAATCAATAAGAGACCACACTTCCTTGCAATTTATAAGTCGATCAATTCCAAGCTTCAACATTCCCCCAACATCCCCCCCTCCCCTGGGCAACCCCGGTCCCCGGTGATTTAAATTTTTGGTGTGTTGAAGCGTCGAGTTGATCAGTTTATCATGAGGTAATACTCCCTTACAATTTTTTTCAGAGAAAAAAAAAGTTGCAAGGTGTAAGTAGAAGAATAGTGACCAAGAAGGGACCAAGACAAACTACGTTCCATTGCTTTCGTGACATAGTTATGGGTTTACTGCAATGGGTTATAATTTCTTGGTTAACTGTCACAATAGGCGATTGGTTGTGACGGATCATGAACAAATGATCAATTGAATAGATGAATAAGGAAACGAAATGATAGACTGATAACCTGATGAACGTAATAACAGATAGTTGTTAGATGCTAGATGATGAGGAAAGAGGCTACGTCGTTATTTTAAGTGTTTTTAAAATTTTTTTTATTTTTATTCCTAGCAGGTGTTTTCATTCCGTCCTGGTGTCATTTGCTTCCTAAAGAAAGATGCTTCTGCAAAAATGCGTGCTTCTAGATCTTCTGATGGCCCGGGAGAAGCAAGTGACATATTAAACCATAAGAAAGCACCATTAGTGGAACAGCGGAAAGAGAAAATTCATGGTGGTCCATTGATCTGGGCTTAAGCCATCGACTCATAATCACACACTACTCTTTGAGACAAGGCAAAAGGCATGGAGAATCAGCACTTACCGATTGGCAACTAGAGGGATCTCATGATGGAAAGAACTGGAAAGAACTTAAGACTATTTACTACGGGAAGGATTCACAGTTCTTCGTTCCTCCTCTATTTTATACAGGTACCTGGTCTGTCGGAGGGGAAATACCGGCTTTTCGTTTTTTTCGAATTTTCCAGACAGGTAGAAATTCCTCCGGTAAATATGGACTATACCTATCTGGAATTGAGCTGTACGGAGTACTTCTGAACATATGAGGCCTAACAGCTATAAAGGCTTTAACTTTTAAAGTTTTTATCAAGCAGTGGAGATTAAAATAGTACCTCTCAGGAGGCAAGGTCTGTGTAAGACTTAGTACTAAAAGTGTCTTAGTTTTGCCACATTTAGAGTATTGGAGGTTCTCAATGGAGTGATGACTTTTACGGCTAACCGTTAAAATTCTGGCCATTTTACGGCTAACGTCTAATATCTTTCCATTGTTGTCACCATAAATTTGTTTTACGTTTAACTTTTCTTACGACTAACGGTTAAGATTTGTCAATTTTACGGCTAACAGCTAAGTAATCGGTTAACCCCATTGAGAACGTCATATTACAGTCCCTTGTGTGATTTTGAGTGGAATTCAACTAAAAAGAGAGTAAATAGATGACTGTGAACATATTTAAATCATATATGTGAACTGCGGATAAAAGACTGACAAAGAAATGAATATGGAAGCGATCCTCGCAGTAATAAACACTATACTTAACCAGTAGTGAAAATAAGGCTTGAAAAAAATTTACTGCCAGTGTTTATTACTAAGATCGCTTTCATATTCAAAGATAGTAAATATGCAAATTTTAATGATCATTGTTTTCAAGGATATTGCTAATTAGTATCTTACCAACCGAGCCAACAAGCCAACTAGGAGGTGGTCATTATGTTGGTTCCAAATGAACTCGTAAAGTGGTGAATAAATTACTGTAAATATTTGAAAATTATAAAATTACGTGAACTGCGGGTCAAGAAAGGAATGTGGAAGCAATTTTTGCAGTAATGAACACTACCTAAGCAGTGGTGAAAAAAAGGCCTGAAAAAAAAAATTCACTGCTGCTTAAGTAGTGTTCATTACTAAGATCGCTTCCATATTCAAAGATGGTACAGAAGCAAATTTTTATAAACATTTTTTTCAAGGGTAATGCTTATCAGTGTCTTAGAAGCAGTTACATGAAATTGTAGACATTGAAAAGTAAGAGAATGGAAGAATCTGCCAGTTGTCCATGCTGCTTTATACTGAAGGCACAGTATCACAATGGTCTAGACTATAAGCAAGACATGCAAACAATCATCTTACACATGAGCCTTAGCGATACAGTGTTAATCTTCGTCTGCTCGAGTTTTGTCACGAAGAACTCATTCACCTAGGAAATTAGTGAGTTATTGAATTTCCCAAACCAGGGGAGAAGGAGAGAATCATCAAACTGTTAATAATTGTGATAAGGGGCGTAGTTTTCTAAAATGTTATGTGGATTGTCAGCCTATTTTTCAAAAACATCCGCATTAGTATTTCTGACGAGCTTTCAGTGGTTAGACTTAAAGTGGGAAATAAAAGATTACTCGATTGAGTGAAGCGTTTTGTGTTCATCTGTTAATTGAAGCACGCAAAATGTAATGAGGGAGTGGAACACCGAAATAGACTCAGAGAGTTAAAAAAAATGGGGTTTTGACAACGTGCTGAACACAATTAGAGACTGAGTCATTTTTCTCTTATTCGAGTGCTGAGGAAGGATAACTCAAGAGGACCCGATATAAAAGTAACTACAGAGAGAAAAAGTTGCTGATAGAGTCAGAAATAGCAAACGTTGTTACTGTCGAACATTAGAAACTAAATGGGGTTGTGCAGCTCAAATTTTATCAAAACGTAACAATCTGATTGGCCACGCTACTCGCCCTCTATTCGGCATTAAGTAGTCAGTAACCTACCAGTGTGCGTTTAGAAACAAAATGAAATAAAAGTGTAAGCCTGTTTTGTGAAATTTGGACGACTGGTAGATTAAATATGAATCGATAAGATTATTCGCTCGTGATTTCCAAACGTGATAGGTGATTCACTCTTCGCAGTCATCAAAGTTTCCCACAAGAGATATCAAGCTCATTATTCAACTATTAACCCTTTCACTCGTCCTTACTTGAAGGGGGGGAGGGGGAGAGAATTTGATTCTTGCCTGGGTGAGGTGGGGAATTTGAACCGGAAGTATAAAGTCTTTCCAGAGGAATGCAAATGATATATCTTTGAATATGAAAGTTTTAAAGTTAAATAGTTTACTTTCGCGAGGTAATGGCTTAGAAGAGAAAGTCTACAAGGTCAAGGGGTTGAAGGCTTGGTTATGAAATGTAGAATTTTGCTTTTTACCAAAAAAACTGGGCGGGAATTTGAACAAACCAATCCTTTGCCCGGAGATTTACCCAAGGGAGGATGCCAAAGCTTCGAATTGAACGACGCATAAACACTAATTTAGACTCCAGTGTCTACAAAATTGAGTTTAAAGTGCCAAAATAATCCGAGGTGTTAATAATCTGAGGTAGACTGGAGAAATGGCCTGTGAGCGGGTTAAAAAGGCCAAGTTGAAGAAGCTAAATTGATTCTTATTCTCCAAACAGTTGTTTCGTGCGTCAGCTGTGCGTTCATGGGAAAAATTTTAAAAGCACTAAAGGTGATTAAGAGTTTGTTGAGGTGCAGCCGAGGGTTATTCTAGTATCTTTGATACTTCTTTTTTGATGAGCGCTCAGGTGGCCCGTGAATGAGTTATTTTATGACTTTTTCCGCGGTGTTAACAAAAAGATGTACTATAAAGAGTAGTTTATCGTCAGTGCACACGCACGTTATCATTTTTCACAATTTATAAAGTAAATGATACACCCGTTTTGATAGGTTCTTACCTATGATCTTTTGGAGAATAGACGTATAGAGGTCGTCACCATTACCAATGATCTACGATCGCGACGATAGCCTCCGTCTTTGCAATCTCTGAGGAAAGGAGCAAGTTGCAGTGAAACTGTCAGATGACTTCTCGGTGAAAAATCATCGTGCCTCGTGACACAGCCGATTCTTTCGCCCAACTTTAGCTTTTAGTTTACTAAGGGAATTTCTCCACAGCAGCAAAACTCTAGAGCACTGCCCGAGAGGAACCTTCGCCGCACACAGTGCGAAGGAATAAAATGTTATGGCAACAGAAACGAACACAGCTATTCATTCTTATGATAGATTTCGCCATAGAAAACAAAACACAAACGCAACAAGCTAAACATTCAGTAACGGGAATTTTTTGCTGTAATCTTGACCTGAACACCGCAGGCGAGAAACCGTCTTTGTCAGTCATCGTCGAAATCTTCGTTTGATGCACGCAGTTCTCCTTCAGATGGGCTGAACCGTACTCGCAACTTCCATTTCCTCTCTACTACTTGAGTACGATGTATCACAACTCTCGGTAGAGCTTGCTGAAGGTGGTACACAGAGTTGTGAGAGATTTGTAAGTGTCAACTGAGAGTTTTCACAGTTTCTACATCATCAGCCGCTAATTCGTTACCAGTCCACAGGACACTTGAAGGACAAAATAAGAGCACTTTAGGGCCCGAAAAAACCGAGTTTTCAGTTTTTTTGAATTTTTTCTTCTATCGGAATTTGCTTTTACATTTTTGCTAGATGTTTACGCAAAAAAAATTTGTGTCATGGGCACTTTAATTACCCTGTTATACTCACCCACTGACGCAGCACCACAATTTCCTTAAAAACTTATCTCCTTTTGACATGATATCATGTCGAGTTCAAAGTCGTCGGAGTAATGCCTCTTTTTGCAGGTTGGTTAAAAAATGCATAACAAAACATTAATATTATCAATGAATTATAAACCTCGTGTTTGTGTTATCTACCGAAGCTTCAGACCTCGGCATTGATAATTCATGATATCATGCTCAACCTCATCCATTAATTGCTTATTTTTCTCTTGAAGTTGAACGAGCGACAGTAAGAACTTGAACACACTTATCAGTGTTTGATGGGATGGTAAAAAGGCTGACTGTGTCAGTGTAATTGCATACTAGAGAGAGTATATCATCAAGCAACCTGAAACTTTTTCAAGAAAAAATGAATTGATTTGCCTGAGTTAAGTGAGCAGTGAAGTAGGCAAGTCTTCATTAGGATGCGAACTAATGAACTAGTTTCTTTATTTCAAAAAAATTCTCCTTGAGTTCCCTCCGCTCGACGGTGTGTGATAACAGGAAGATCGTAAATTTCGAGAACGAAGTTGCTAAATTGCAAAACTGCGTTGATTCAAATGCAAATTATCTCTTTAAATATACCAAAATCTGCCAGAGTTTACAACAGGTCCTTGAGTTCCCTGCTCTTGACTCCTGACCCACTACAACAGTATTCTGCGATAAGGGTGTTATGTGAGTTTAATTATCTCAAAGAGCGGTGCCGTAAACGTTCTAGAAAACTTACTTTTGTGGAGCGCAATTAGTCAGGTTCAATTTGAACGGTAAGCCTTATCTTAAATGGTTTGGATCGTATATGGTTTGAAACTAGGAGTAACTGTTGATCTGTAGTGTGGTCTGATTGTCCGAGGGAGAGTAATCTTAAGAGGAATGTTGTCGATAACATAAAAGTCTCTGACGTTTGGACAACCTCAGGTAGGGGAGAAAGTCATAAATACATCCAAACGCCATACCAAATTACGAAAGTCGGTTCTTGTAACACGATTTTATTTTCCAAACTAGTTTTTAGTTCTATGAAAATACGCCACATTGGCATCCAACGACAACTTCGGTTAAATAATAGAACAGTGAGTTCTGCTTTTAATTCCCGTCGTCATGCATAAGGGCCCGGATGAAAGAATGCCAACAAACAGAACATTAGTGCATAGCCTGACTGCGATCAGCGGGCAAAGCTCAGCTAAGAGCTGCTTTTCGTTCTCGAATTCTCTTTGCTATATCTTATCAAATAATACCTTTAGAAGGGTAACTTGATAACAGAAGAAGACGAATGCTGCGATCTAATTGATTGATCATGTAGACCTAATGGCTATAACACGCGGACAACTTTCATAATGAAAAGAAACCATAGCAACCATGTTCAACAACCTTTGTTGCCAATTCATGATCATCACAGGTTTGGCTCCTTCGTTACATATAGGATATAAGGAGGCGATAATGTTTCATAGAGTGAGAAGTTGTGAGAAAATGAAAAATTACAAACCAACGGGGCTCTGGAATGTTGAAGAAATTGAAGCAATTTATGATTATTCAATGATGATACTTAGCATCGCACAGTATGCCCGACATCATCAATCATTCGTAACCATTGAAGCGGGCAAATTTAAATGTTTTGTGAAATTACGTGGCATCTGGCCATAACTTGTGCATTAAAAGAATATCAAAACTCTGCAGGTACGAATGTGATATTTAAAGAAATCCACCCTAAAACAAAACAACTAATCAGATTTCAAGACTCGTTTAAAGTAACCAATCAAATTGAAGTAAAATAAAAGACAGAAAGGGCATTTGGGAAATCTTGTAACACATTACAAACAATCTCAGTACTGGATCAATAACATTTTGTACTGACTTAAATATTCCGTTATTTTGGCAGTGGTAATTGCACTTCGTATCGTGCAATCTTGGTTTGAAATCATACTTGTGATTCAATAGAACTAGTGCTGCGAGCTGGCTTGATTGTGAAATCACACGGATGATTTCACACCGAATTGCAAGACACAAAGTTTATGGTAATGTTTGTAAAGCTCAGCTAACTGAATAATATTCACACCCCATAATATTCTAGAGAGGATGTAATGTCGCAGAACCTACTTCTAAAATAACTGTATGTCTCTCGTTTAGAACTGACACTGCACAAAAAATTTCTGAACCACAGAAATGCATCGATATATGTACTAACTATCTTTTTAAATATATCAAAGATCTATTGACTCAACTTGACGCTGAGTGTAAATATAAGAGTTCAACTTGATTTTCATCCACGAGCTAAATTAAATATTTTTCATGAAAACTTGTTATCATAATCGTTTACGGGAATTTCTTACTGGAAAGCGCAGATAATGCCCGTCCACTGACTATTGCACCGTCACATTATCACTTTTCATCGTTTTCTCGACCGTCGACTCTTGTTTTGTGGCATTATTGCTTGTTTAAAATTTTTTTTGTTTTTTTTTTTGTTCTGCCATTTTTTAATTGTGATACATCAATGGAGGTAAAAGGAATCACACATACATTATTATGATGTAATATAATACAATATAATATAATATAACTGAAAATTTAACATTTGGCGAGGAATCCTGTAGAGAAACCAAGAGGCTTATTTGATCTAAAGGCCTCTCATATTTCACAATAGTGAGGTATTAGTCATATGGCATGATTTAGATACATAATATTTCAGATTAAAAAGGAAAGAACCCACGCACATAAAACAACACCAACACTAGCAGGCACTCAAACAAACATATACTGAAGCAGCTTGAGAAAAGTAAGAAAAAACGGGAAGTAGGATATCAACTTAGCAGTAATTTTTGCAATTTAGTTCCGATAGTAGCGACCCTCGTTACTTTCGGAATTAGCAGCATTTGGGGGTCGTTACTTTTGGGGGAACAAAAATCGTTTACAAATAGAGCTGGCGCGAGCTTTTTTTCCCAAATAAAAAATGAACAACATAAAATTAAAAAAAGAACAACATTTTATTTGCATTCCATAGGTATCGATTGTGTTTCGTAAAAAGAAGGTAACAATGATAAACACAGCAATACGGTAACAAAATAAATCAATTTCTACACCAATAAACAAATGAGACAAAATTCGTCTATCCAGTTTCATGTTTTAACTGCGACATGGGTGGGTTCCGGATGTCTTCCTGGATTGTATTGTCAGTGGTCTGGATGAGTTGTATTAGACTGTCTCTTAGTTCTTTCCTTAGACTTCTAAGTCCTTTCTTGACGCCAATTTCATAAACGCAAGGAATATCGATGCCTCCTTCCTGAACCCATACACCTTCAGGCGCCCTCCTGCTTTGGCCTGATACACAGCAAGTCATCTTGATTTCCTTTTCCAGGAATGGCTTGTAAGTCTGAAACACTGCGTACCTCTATTCAACAATTTCACAGATATCTCAGAAGAACGGCAACAGTTAAAGCAACCGAGTTGAAGGGTGTCCAAGAAGGCATTGTAGGTCCCTGGGAATTAAGCGATATAGCTAATATGGATCAAACACCTCTGCAATTCTGCTTCAACTCTAAGGGAGCTACTTATGCAGAAAAAGGAGAAAAGTCAGTATGGAGTCGGACGACAGGTGAAGGCCATGATAAGAAACAGTGTACCATGCAACTGACCATATTTACCGATGGTGAGCCCTGCATCAAATCAAGAAAAGAGGCAATATGATCCAAGAGTCGTGGTCAAGTTCCAAGAGAACGCGTGGTGCAACGAGGAAATCATCGTCTTCTGGCTCAGTATGTGGAAGAAGCCTAACATGTTTGGTCAACTAGGCGATAGACTTCTAGCTTATCTATGATGCGCATAGAGCTCAAACAACAGAGAGGGTAAAGACCATTCTGACGCAAGGGTGCCAGACGACATTGGGGCGGGCTTGTACCTTCTGGTGCAACGAACAAGATTCAACCACTCGATGTTACATTTAATGCGGAATTTAAGAAAAGTGTTGTTAGACTAAGACTAGACTAGCCACGAAACACTTTCCGCAAATCTAGAGCGCTTTATGACGGGAAAAGTGACTGCTGGTGATCGGCGTGTGCTTTTCACGAAGTGGGTGGGTACGGCATGGCAAGAGACCTCGCGCCTGCTAAAAGACATAGTTCGATTGTACTGCATGACGCACCGCTGTGTTTTAGTCTGTACCCCATACCGGTGTCTCAGAGTCATTTAATTAGAAGAAATGTTCATGTTAATCGACGAAAACTATGTAGAGTTTTTTAATTTCAATTTGAAGAAACGTTCCTGTTTTAATACGAAGTTATACCGGTTTAGTTCTTACATCGATACATCAGTGAACTGATGTCAAGGAAGAATGGTGGCATAAAGCTTCCCCTTGTTGTAAATTAAAGTGCCTTATCGTGAACAATTTGCAACACAGCACGAACATATTATTGTACATTAAAATTTTGACTATTGATTGACAAATTAAAGTTATACAGTATACAATTAAAAAAACTTGGTCTCACTACTTTCGAGGGGGGGTCGCTACTTTCGGGATTTATTTGCGGCCACAAAAAAAATTGACGTTTATTTCGGGGGGGGGGACGGGGGGCGCTACTTTCGGGGGGTCGCTATTATCGGAACTTTACGGTAACATTTTGGATTTCTATATTCAGAGAATTGAAAACTTTAGGTCCTTGGAGACATAGCACAAACCGTCTAACATTTGTTCTGCAAGGTGGTACCTAAGAGAAACTGCATCGTCTGGTGTAATAACTATGAATGCTGCTCGAAAACGAAAATAACCTTTTAAGAGCATCTGGAAGACGGCCTACCTTAAACAAAAACACAATCTTCCTAATTGGAATCGATATATATTGTTTAGATTAAGAATTTTCAACTGCTTAAATATAGGTTCAGTATGAGCGGTAAAAGTACTTCTTGAATAATTCCTACCACCTTTTTATGGAGTAGGATAGTACTTTTTTAATGCGTTCTCCGAAAGAGAAAAAGGCCTGATCTATGATTCACTGCAATCCTTACAGGAGTGTTTTTTCTTTCTTTCCTTTAGCTTATTTAGCCGAGTCAGAACCTGGATTAGCGGGATTCAAAACTGATTCTCTTGGACAGATGGCTGATTCAGAAGCCAGCAATGAAGGTATTTATGTTCATAAATTCATAAAACGGTATCAGTTTTACTCATTATCCCTTCCAAGTCGTTACTTGTTATTATTAAATATGGAACAGGGAGTTACAATCATTGCGGCTCTTTTTAAGTCACAATTTTTATTCAACTGATGTTTACTTGTTTTGCAGCCACCTCTGGTAATACACCATTTGAACAGGCTCCTGTCACTGAAAACCACGTATGGTCAATATGTAATGAAGTAGGCAGAGACTGGAGACGCCTGGGTGCAGCCTTAGGGCTTGAATCAGCGTTTTTGGATAATATTGATACTGATTTCAAAGAAAGCCCTGAAAAGGCATGGAAAGTGCTTCAAAAGTGGAGGCAAAAAAAAGGAAAAGGAGCAACAATGGGAATCCTTATAAATGCTCTTGAAAAGATAGAAAGGAAAGACGTCGTCGATAAACTGCATGGTACGTAATCTCCTCTTGTAAATCTCTCAATACCAGGTTTATCTAGATCTATTTACTTTCGTAACGAAAAACTGAACACCTATGTAGAAAAGATCTTCCAACGAAAGCCTTCGTGGCCTTGTCAAGGAGGTTTCATTTTAGATGTAGATCGCGCCGCCAACAGGTTTTAATAGTGCCTGCTGTGCCTTCCTACTAGGATGGCCAGAGGCACTAACTTCGTGGTACTGTGTCGTATAAGTCCGTAAACCGCGCCCAAGCCCTTCGCGGGTTTCAAAATGACCGAGTATCATGAGACACTCATAACGTCTCTTGTGACTCGTCCCACAGGCGGCCCAAAAGGGCTTTTCTCATGTACGTAGAAAACTTCGAAATGGATAACTCGCTTAAATGGGTTCTTTTCATAAAAGTAAGCGGTCAGATAACGAGCAATTCGCTGTGGAAGTAAGGTGAGGTATTTTTATTAAGAATTTGACGTTATTTGAAACACGTGACCTCTGACGTTAATTTAAGCAATTTTTGGTCATAGACTGATGTTTATTCTCTCAACTTCAATTTAAGAATGGGATCACCGACGCTAGTTTTTGTGGTACGAATATCTTAAAACAATAGATGTATAGCTGCCGAGCTAGTAGTCACTTATCGTAGACACAATCTATTGGAAATAATGATCTATAAATGTATGTATATATCATACATTAAACATTACCGAATTGAGTAATGAACGTCGGCAGTTGACAGCGACGTTTGCCAAATGCAATTTACACAAATGAAACACTTTATATGCCTATTAAAATTTTACTCGATGCGCCATAATTTTTTTCTCCGGGAAGCTTTGGAGAAGACTCCATCGGATTTTAGGTACATTACGGGACAGTTATATTTAAATTTATTTCGATGAATCGAATGGTTCCATGGGTTACTCACAAGGAGGAGATTATCTGATAGTCACATTTTCAATTCGTTTTGTACTGGTAATAAGTTTCTAGTCCTCTTTCTTATTTGAAATCTCGTCTCAATCGCTTAAAAGTCCAACTATACTAACCTTACTAAAGCTTTCTGACGATCTGAAAATGCAGGGTGTTACAACAATGCGTTTATTAACCTGTCATTGCCAAGACCGTACTCGAATCAGGCTAATCTAGCGGTGCAACTTCAGCGATCCTCAAGTAAGTAGGGATGCTTGTAATTGCTATCGCCGTAAAGCCATACTTGAAAGTCACACGAGGCAATTTATGATAAAAAGAACGAGTAAACGACACAAATAACGCTAGCGACATGCATGAAGGCTCCTATTGAATGGTATAAGGGGAAGGGGGAGGGGGGGGAGGAGGGGTTGAAAGGGTGTTATGCCACCGTTGCAAAAATTAAAGACTCTTTCCAAAATATGAAGAAGTACAGCATGGTTGGCATCAAAGCTTTGAACAACTTTTCCCTCGAATCTGTTGGGATGAGAGCTTAGAAAGTGTGAAATGTGGGAAAGAGCCTTTTTTTCACTGGGACAGCCTCAAAAATACAGTTCCTCACAAATTCCAACAGGAAAACAATTTGTACTCATAGACTGAGTGGAAGGGCTGGACGGAAAATATTTGGGTCGAGGTCATGACGTACGGACCGAGCGCATTGACGTCCGTGCACCATGACCGAGTGCCAATTATCTTCCCGTCTGGCTCAAAACAAACTCAGTCCATAAGAATTTTATTATATAACCGTTAAGTGTCGAAAATTTCTAAAATTTTGTGTCAACCTGAACGGGACGTGATAGACGGGTGCACGCGATAAACGACAAACACAAACAAAAAAAACGCAAAAAACGATTCTACAATAAAAACTTATCCCTATTTTTTTCCATTCGGAGCTATGAAGACACAAAATTTTACGAAAAACGCGACTTTTTAATTGTTTTCATTTTTCCTTTAAGTTTTTGCAGCAAAGCTGTGTTGGCGGGGCCGAGAAGGCTTTTTCCGGACCTGCTCACGTCACAGCTTTTACTACGGTTTTTCATGGGATTGCGCGCGCAGGGCCGTACGGTCATATGATAAAAGTACCTCAGCCACCTAACCAGCCATCTAAGGATGTTGGAAAGTTTCATGTGGCAGCATCTCGGCCCCAAGTTGCCATAACTGGTCAGCAAGGGACGTTAAACAACCCACGCACTTTTTGTAAAGAGAAGGGAACGTAGCTGTTGCGGTCTGGCCTTGATTATGAAATCGGGGGCAATTGCAACACTTCGTTCCAAAAATTGCAAACTCCTTAACGCAGCCCAGCCAATTGTTGTTATTAACTCAGAATAGCCCCCCTTAGAGGAAAGTTAATGTAGACTTGATTGTGCGCGGTTATTTGTGGTTGGAACAACTTTCCTGCAATGTACCTAATATTAGATGGAATCTTCTCCAAAGCTTCCCTCAGAAAAAGACAAATTTGGCGCATAAAGTAAAATTTTAATAGGCATATAAAGTGTGCCATTTGTGTAGATTACATTTGGCAAAAGTCGCTGCTAACTCCCGGCGTCCATTATTCAATTCGGTAATGTTAATGCGGTCCCTTTCTCAAATTGAAATTGAGTGAATAAACATCAGTTTATGACCAAATATTGCATAAACTAACGTCAGAGGTCACGGAGGGAAGTGATCACGAATCTTTCACAGGACACAAAAATTTTTTGCCCACAGAAGAAGTGTTTGGGATAGGTCATTGCTGTTATAGTATGTTTGTCGACATACAATGTTGCCCATTGAAGATATTTGCAATTAAAAAACCCTATTTTTTTCTTTTTTGGAATAGTTGCTTGACATAGTTAATGATTACCTGCTCTAAATTCGCAGAAGTTATATCAAATTATCCCAACTTCCTTAAGGTGCAAACAACCATTAGACAAAATAAGATTAAAATCCATCGCATTCTGTTAGTGTGAGAGAGATTCGTTGGAAGTGCATTTTTCGAGCTAATTTTTATCCCAGGGATTTGATGTGGGGGCTCTAATACCCCAGGGATTAGCTGCCCAAACTACTTTGGATTCTTGAATAACTTAGTGACCTACTAAACGGTGAAAGTTTAAAAGAAATCGGTGAAATGGCATGTATCACGCCTGTCCGGTCCTCTCGTGGACAGATACTTTCGGACTCGAAAGAGAAGGTACATCCGTCGTGCTAGGTACGAATAGCGTGCAAACATTGGTGACATACTTTGTTTAGCGCTGGATTCTTGTCTAATCTTTGAGTTATTCATTTCACAAAATGTCAAAACAGCCCACGGGACGCTTACATCCCCAGGTGCAAAGTTGACCACTGCGGGTCTCTTAATTCTTATCCTTTTAAACTACTACTCGAGTAGCCTTATTTAAATTTAGGTAGCGACAAATTTTCCGACAGAACAGGGACAACAACAAGGTTCTATGATGAAAATGTTATTTATTAATCGAATTAAGCTTTCAATGTAGAGGTAATACAAATATTAGGGAAAGATAACGTAGTATAATGTTCTCCAAATTCGAGAAATGATTGAATAGGTGAAGAATGTGATAGCCCAAGAAATTACTTGCGATACTAAAAGAACTCTGCGAACGATTTCGTTTTGTTTAATACCGTACGATATCGGGATCCTGATGACTTTTCAACGTAACAGCAATTCCTATCGTTCCTCTTTTATGACTGACTTGAGTTGTTTAGCTATGATGAGGATCCCGTCAGTTATTTTCGGGTGATCCTCTTCGCATATTTTTTGTCAAAGTGAGGAAAGAACTTTTTAGAGTGCCAGAAGAGTGCAAGCTCTTTAATAATCTCCTGATATTGATTTTCTGCTTTCTTGCGAGTATCGCCGCGACCATATCTTCAGAAGTACCATCGTCAGCGAAGGGGCGTCATCATATCTTATTGTTCGAATAGTTATCTCTACAAATCTCTTCATTTGATATGATATTCTAATCTGCCCCTCACTTTTTTAACTGCCACATATTGATGTTTTAATATTGGAAGCAGTTCATTCCATTTTTCGAGGTAAACGGTTTTTAACGCCTTGTCCTCATGTAGCGCTTTATCCATATCTATATCATAGTCACAGCTTTCCCATTCCATGAACAGGAAACCTAAGTAACATGGACAATTGAATATATTTCTACTGCTAGTTACAGAACGTTGCGTAATGAAAGGTGATCGCACTAAATTCTTCGCAAGTTACACGTAATGAACACTAAGTTCGAGTCCTATTAGCAATCAACACCAAATCTTTGTTTTGTATTCCAAGTAACAAAAAAGCCTTCTTCAGATTCTATATCTGGGCATTTTAGAGTTGCTCTTCCAAAAGAGTTGGTTTCGGTGTTTGAAGAAAAACTCGCACCACATCTTCCAGTCAGCAGAACTAACTATTTGGCACGCACAGAAAACGCACATGTCAAGTAAGTTGCACTGTGAAAGTAAAGTGAGGTACTTTTATTGAGAATTTGACTGTATTTTTGTATTCCTAAGAGCGGTCGTAAATATTCCCATACAAACTCTTATATTTTCACCACGACTCTTTTCTTTACGCAAGATGATCATATCATAGCTGGAGCTTGGGTTGTCTGTGGTCAAGCTAGATTGACCTCATTTTCGCACTCTATTCGGCACGCTCAGAAAACGCATATGTCATCTATAATTGATCAAGTCTCACACTCTATTTAGCACGCTCAGAGAACACACATGTCAAGTAAGATTGCCTCAAGTTTCGCACTCTATTCGGTACCCACAGAATCGCATATATCAAGTAATCTCCATGTGCAAGGGTTACAGTGAAATTGACATCGCGTAAAGAATTCGAACTTTTGAAATATTAGTTAAAAATCGCCAAGAAATAATTCAATGAAGCCTTTTTAGTTTTATTTACGTGTGTTACGTCTACTTCGAGCTTTTTTCTTGGCTTGGTAATTAAAAACAACAACAACAACAACAACAAAAACGCCACAATGGTTGCATCGAGGCAGAAGGAAATTGAAATAGTTTGCTTCTACATTAAATATTATCGTGATAAATTAAGTGATTTGTTGTGATCAAATGAGATCATCGGCTCAAAACTCCCCTTTCTTATGCGACGATGAATAGGTACAAATGGGTCGCTTACGGAGCGATGCATAACTGAATAAATGTCCTCATTTTCTTCTGGAGTTCCCGTGATCTTACTTTTCCTGACAAGACCCTCAAAGGAGTTCGAGGAGAAAAGTGGCAGCTCAAAAAAAACATTTGGATTTTTCTCGACAAATTATTTCTTGACCTAGCGATTTCCTTTCGTTTTCCATTGCTTGTTTCATTCTTCCAAAGATCAACAGCGTGTGATTGTGAATTCACGTGGATGATTTCAGACCAAATTGCAAGACACGAAGTTCATGTTAATCTTTGTAAAGCACAGCTAACTAAATAATATTCACACTTCAAAGTATCCTGGAAGAGAAATAATGCCGCAGAATTTACTTCTAAGACAACTGTATGTCTCTCGTTTAGAACAGATACTGCACCAAAAATTGCTGAACCACAGAAATGCATCGATATGCAAACTATCTTTTATCAAAGATCTATTAAGTCAACTTGACGCTGAGTGTAAATTTAAAAACTCAACTTGAATTTCATCCACGGGCCAAATTAAAGATTTTTAATCTAAAGTTGTTATCAAATTCCTTTAGGGTAATTTCTTACTGGGGAGCTCGACAATGTCCGACCACTGACTCTTGCACCACACATTATCGCTTTTCCTCGTTTTCTCGACCGTCGACTCTTGTTTTGTCGCATTATTGCTTGTTCATTGTTTATCTTTGTTTACTTGTTTATTCTGCCATTTCAAATTATAGTACATCAATAGAAATAAAAGTTTCGTTGCAATTGAATTAATCGACGGAACTGTCTTTCATTTAATATCTGAGAATCTCATTTGAGTTTTCCTTTGTCTAGAAAAGATCAGACTTACACACGCCATTGCAGGAAAACAACGTGCAAACTCTCACAACTTCAAAATAAAAAATTTAAATTTACTTACAATTACTTCCCCTGCCATCTACTTTCTTAACAGAAGTAAATCTTTGTACGTTAATAAATCGTCGATGAGAGTAAATAATACTTTCCGTAAGATCATTGACTGTTTTTGAATAAAACATTGTCGCAATAGTCCTTCCAAACTAGTTCTGTTGATTTTTTAAAAATGTACTTGCGCTTTTTTTTCCTTACGCGCTCTCCAATTAACATATGTCAGATTGTGACAGATGCTTATAAAAATAATGTTTCAATTTGTTGGAAGCCTTTTACATCATCTTCATAGTTACGCACTTAATCATTACGCACTTTATCATTTGGCAAACGAAAATGTTTCGGTGAAGTCTCTCTCTTTAATCTACATTACCTCTATTTTAACCATCATTTACTCGCCAATTGTTCATGCAGGTTGTGGAAAATCTTGCCGAAATTACAGCCCAAAATCATTCGGATTCTTCTGGAAAGGATTCCGTTAAGTTTAAGGGAAAAAGGTCGGGTCGGGTCGGGTCGGTCCGTATTGGGAAAAACCGTGCCCTCTGTCTTGAGTGCCACTCGAGGCCTTGAGTACTACCCGAAGACCTCGAGCACAGTTTTTCCCAATACGGACCTCCTGGTTGGCGAATACCACATATATAATAATTTGATATTTATTATATGATAAAATGCAGTATAACTGAAAATTTAACATGTGGCGAGGAAACCTGAAGAGAAACCAAAAGGCTTATGTGAGCTACAGGCTTCTTATATTTTGCAAAAGTGAGGTATTAGTTATGATTTAGATACACAATGTTTTAGGATAAAAAGGAAAGAACCCACACACAAAACAACAAAAACACTAGCAGCTTAAGAAAAGTAAAAAAAAAAAAAAAGAGAAGAGGGACATCAACTTAATAATATTGTTCACAATTTAGACTCAGATAGGGAAAGTGTAACATTTTGTATTTCTACATTCCGAGAGTTCTCATAATTTAAAGACGAATTTTCTCAATGCTGGCTCTATCTATTTTTAACAAGAAAAACCCTAATCCTTACAGCTGTAAAAAGAGGGCACCCATTTTAGCGGAAAGCAATAGTTCTGAGGTCCACTGGCTTTTCAATGAACAGTTTTTGCGAGGTTCAAGTACTGCGGCGGAAGCTAAGAGTCGCTTTGAATTGCGTTTAAAAAGATTGAAAAAAAAATTAATTATTTCACAACTACAAATGTTTATGCTTCTGTTCGGGTTGTCTGATCGTCCGGGTGAGGCCGGTAATCCTCAGAAAGACTGTTGACTGACAACCTCAGCTGAAGTCATCATCTGAGTCATAGGAAAGTTGTTGTTAGTCAAGTGTCATAAGTCTGGTTCGTGTGAACTTCAGTTTGTCAGCCACTTTTCTTTGGTGTTATTGAAGACTCAAGTTGCATAAGGCGATCGTGATCAGTTGTCGAATTTCGATCCATCTGTAATTTTGGGTCGTTTGTTTGGTGAAATTCGAGAATAAGTCGTTTGTATGGTTCCAGTAGTTGCTGGAGTCTGTTCTAAGTTAGTGAACCAATAACGTCGTCCGCGAGTTGATGATGTTCACAGTTTACTCGACATTTACTGTTAATGCATGGGCATGCACGTGAAAAGCAACGCGCCTGGAATTCTTACTGGAATTTTTTCTTAATTCAGCGTAGTATTGCTAGTTTGAAAATATTTTCCTATTCATCTGAAAAAGAGCTTGCCACCTTGCTTTCATGGGTTTTCATCTTCAGTTTTTGTTTCTTTATTTAAATAACAGCCGGAAAAGTAGAGGAAAGGCTAAAACGCGTCGGGGTACAAAGTGGGAGGATACGCAAGGACTTCGAACAGTTGATGGCGGAACTAAAGAACTTGCAAAAGACCATTAAGGAAGAACTCCAAGAACTGAAGAAAATCCTTCACGCCGTATTACCAACAGCAAAGGGTGAAGAGGAACGAGAGAATACTGAAACAAGAGTCGAAAGCGTAGAGGCAGTATTCAATCGAGTGGAAAAGTATCTTTCAGACCTGTTAACTGAAAAAAGCTTCAAAAAAGGTCCGGAGCAGGACACCACTTGTGTGGGGAAAACTTGCGACCAGATCAGCGAGGCTCTTCGTGATTTACAGGAAAATCTCAAAATGATCTATGAAAACTGGAAGACGGAAATGGCTAAACAAAGCCAGAAAGACACCGAACAAACACAGGGATGGGAAAATACTCAGAATAAAATAATCAAGGAAAAGGAGACTAAAATCAGAAACTTGGAAGAAAGACACAAAACGCTTCTGGAAGAATACGAAAAGTTACAGGAAAGAATTGAAAAGACATTTTTGAAGGAAAAAGAGGAAGTTTTGGAAGAAAATAAAAAAGTCGTGGAAGAAAACGAAAAAATTAAGGAACAGATTGAAAAGCTAAAAGCAAAGAAAGAGGAACTAGAATTGAGGTTAAATCAAAATCAAATCGATCCGGAAGAGCTAAGTCGGTTAAAGGCTGAAAAGTGTGAGCTGTCGACTCAACTAATCAAGCTCACCAAAACAGCGAGCAACAGTTTGAAAGAGTGCCAGAAGCTAAAAGAGGAGCGTAAGAATCTCAACTTCCGAAGTCGTAAGTACATAGGCACAATGATAATAGCACCGTCCGTGGTTAATCTGTTTTAGTTTATGTTTGTTTAGCCTTACGTTATCCCCTACACGATAGTATATAATAAAAAAATAATGGTGATAGTACGCGCGCTCTTATTGGTCGATGGGCGAGTTGGGATGAGAGTACGTAAACACGGGTGAAACGTCACGCTTTGAGGTTTCCCAGCATAAATAAAAAATTCAAACTCAAAGCTTTCGCATTAATCAAATATTTGAAATGAAGAAAATTTTACTAAAGTTTGATTTGGGGTTTAGCTTTCTCCTTCCCCCATAAGCAAGAAGAACTTCAGCGCTTTGCCTGCTTTGATGATCGTGAGCTGGACGACCTCGTCGAGGGAGCTCAAACGAAAAGAAGTCAAAATATACAACAAAGTTCGCAGTAATCAGTTTTCCAAGTAAATTTTCGCATTTCAGTCTGTGATAAAATCCTCCACAAGAAATCTTTTTTTTCCAAAAATTCACGAAACCCACACTAAGCTATGTGCTACGGTACAGTCTCTGATCGTCTGACAGCAAACTTCGCATGGCCGATCGGTCGCCTTGTTTTGACTTTCAAACTTTTCATAAAATGTGATTTTCTCTGAGACGTTATCGAAGTAAAAAAGTACTTCCTCATCGGCAATGATACTCATTAAATTTTTCAACTCAGTATGGGGAAGCAAAACTGTATTGACCAGCAAAACTTTACAAGGCAGGATGAGCAGTACGCGTTTCAACGTCTCAAAAATGTTCTTGGGCTGCCAGATTGGGCAAGCTTTCGTCACTTTCATTTTCAGCTGAATAAAATTGTTCCTCTTCTTGTTTTTTTTCTTCAAGGACTTGTATATTTTGAACATTTCCTTCTTTTTCTGTCAAATTTACGAGCATTCAAAGTTGAAACCATTTCATTCACACGGTGCTGGCTTGTGCCGCAAATTTCAACTTGACGTTGAATTTTATAACGTGAATTTTTACTGGTTTATGTGTTGTCAGATGTGCGATCTGATTAGCTAGCAGGAAGTACCATCGTCCAAAGCATGTATAAGAAAAGCTGTATCCATCACGAAGGAAATAAATAAACAGCCTTTTCCTTCATTTGTCATGTCATTGGAGAGAAGTATTTCATAAGAGCATTAGAGATTTTTTCTGTGTTTTCATACTCTCATCTTAACACTGGGGAGGTTGGGAGAATTCTCGAAATTTTTGCAAACCGTCGACTGCGTCTTGGGTTTGCATACATTTTTCGATTTATGCCTACCCCTCGTGTTTAGTTGACCTTTTTCAGAGTGGATGGGGCAGCAGCTAATTATCGGTGTTATAACTCCACAAGATTTTTAGAGAAACGGGAAGAAGGTTTGCGGGGCACGACTGAGAGGACCAGTGATAAACAATCTTTTTAGAGCTATATTTTCTTAGCATTCCGAGTGAACAACGGTTCGCCTAAAAACCAATCGGAAAGTCGATTGATTGCTTTCCTAACTTAGGCATGAGTTTACCATTACAATAAAAGATCTGTTTTTGGGCAATCAGACTGCACACAGTATCTCCGTTATTTCAGAAACTTTACCAGTAAGTGAAGTGATGAATGGATGATTAGATAGTTGTTGTATATTAAATGATTGGGTATTACGTTGTGTTTATAATTATTTTCTAATATAAAATTTGCTTCCAATCAGGCGTCTTCCTACCAACTGAAAAGGAATTTACCAAAAACTGCCATGGTGTTATATGGTTCTTGAAGAGAGATTCTTCTGCCTCATCAAAACTGCTTGCTTCAAGATCTTCCGAAGGACCAGGAAAAGCAAGTGACATATTTGACCATCAGAAAGGAACTATCAGTGGAACAGAAGAGAAGGAAGGCTCATGGTGGTCTATTGATCTGGGCCCCAGTTTCCGTCTCGCAATTACACATTACTCTTTAAGACAAGGCCAAAGAGATGGAGCGTCAGCACTTACACGTTGGCAACTTGAGGGATCTAATGATGAAATAAACTGGAAAGAACTTGAAACTATTCACAACAAAAATGATGTACAGTTTACTGCTCCTCCTCCATTTTATACAGGTACGTGGTCGGTTGGAGGAGAAGTGGGAGCTTTCCGTTATTTTCGAATTTTCCAAACAGGTAGAAACTCCTCCCACAAATATGGAATATATTTATCTGGAATTGAGCTGTTCGGAATGCTCCTGTATATCTAAAAGGCTAACAGCCTTGGATACCTCAACCTAGAGTTCTTGGTGAGTAACAACATCAACAACAACAACAACAATGTTTATTTGAACTCTCTCTTGCCTTAGAAGCTAATACGAATAAATGTTGAAAGTAAATTTAGAGGACTGGCTTCCAGGAATAACTAAAGGGGTCAGCGGAGCCAGGCAGCCAGTTGACATCAGCATTAGATGAAAAGATGACAGGCCAGAAAGATAGCACAATTGTATATATAATAAGAAAGAAAGAAAGAGAAGAGGAAAAAAGGCTATCGATGCGCTATTAGGAAAGTGAAATAGTTCAATTTACACACGAGTATAAATTATTGTATAGGAAAAGCACACAACTGAATAGCTATGACTACTAATAACACATAATGACATTATGTACGTACCGTATTTCCTTGAATAAACACCCGGGCGCTTATTTAAAGACTTGGCCAAAGGAAGGGGCGCTTATTCGAAGGAGGGCGCTTATTAAGATGGCGCAGCAATAAGACAAACATTTAAAAAACTATGCTAGTACGCGAGGAAATAACTGGAACGGTGAAGAAACTATCTTCCTGTAATGATTCAGCTGTAGTAGAAGCCTAAAAGTTATACGTGCAATGGCAAAAGAAAAACATGTTTCACTTTATCCCTACTTTTAAGAAGGAGGGGGGCGGTGCTTGTTTGATAAATTGGCCTTGTGAGTAGGGGCTTATTTGGAGGAGGACACTTATTAGAACGTGTACGCCTATTCGAGGAAATACGGAAATACGAAAGACTAGCTTACCAGATAATTTGGAAAATGACACAACTACAATTTAAAAGAAGGTGAATACATGTAACTAAAAATCTTTAACAATATCGCTTTCAACTAGTTTCAGAGTCAGATAACTCTTTGTTTGTACGTTCTTCATTTTTCTTTGGTGTGTGACATATCCTTCGTTTTGCCACTTTGGGGTACTTCCGTTCACTGTAGTGGGCAGGAGTAAACTGCAAGTTTATTAGATCGAAGATCTTAGCAGTTTTTAGGTTATGGTAAATCAGTATTCTAGAAGCAGTTATTTGGCACTGTGAATAGTACTTTACGAAAGAGAAAAGAAGCATCTTCGAGTCGCATCTTCTGTATCAAAAGTCGCTGAGTGAATATAGTCCCGAGTTAGTTGCCTCCGCAGCGTTTCTGGCGTAGAGGTTAGAAACACGAGGAGGCATCATAGAAGCCCTCGCGTGTACCTATATGGAAGTGAAAAAATGTTGTTATGGTAGGCAAAATGATATCGATTTAAACAAACTAGGCGCGCATAGTCTTATTGGGTAATTTCATATTTAGGCCCGCGTGGTGGTCCTGGGTAATTTTTCCTGAGAGGATCGCATGGTGTTCAACCAGTCGGAAGGATAAACATCCTCGAAAAAAACACCAGTATATATAAACCCAGATTTCTTACTTAGCCAAAAGGCTACTATGTTAAGCAGTATAAATTTAATTGTGAAAACAATATCTGAAAAGTCTCCTTAAAACATTCGGTGTTGTTCAGACATTTCAAACGTCTCTGTTATCGGTCGGCTGGTTTGCCTTATGTTTTCCGCTGCGTGAAATTAGGTCAAAGTCTGTATTTTGATGTTTCACAATAAAATTGATACCTTCGCTATTATACGGATAGGGAACGTGTTTCAGAAAGAGGTATGATTTAAAAAATTTCCTATATTCCTTTGCTTAAGAGTTCGTATGACGCCATTTTAATTGTTTTTGTTTGTTTTCTCCTTCGTATCAGGGAGAATATTTAGTCTGCTGTTTGGTTCTGAATGGATTGCAAGTCAAAAAGAATAAAATTGTAAATTTTCTTGATCATTTTTTTGAAGGATATGGCGAAGCAGTATTTTATAGGCAGTTAGATGGCTGGAGTATGTATGTAAATAATCATCTTACACATGAGCCTTAGCAATAGAGTGTCAATCCTCGTTTGCTCGAGTTTTGTAGTGCAGAATTCCTTACTTACGAAATTACTATGTTATTGAATTTTCCAAACCTAGGGAGTGGAGCAGAATTATCAATGTTTTTGTTACTGGTGATGAGAAGTGCAAATTTAAAAGTGTTATGTAGAGTGTCTGCTTATTTTTCAATAACATTATTATCAATTAACAACAACTTTATGGAGTTTCTAATATACAAAGAGGCCTTTTTTATATTATCATTTTTATTGTTGTTTTTCTTCCTATATGTACTTTCGTCAAAACGTCAATATTTTGAATAAAGGGGGTAAGTTCTAAAGAAACTGTGGTGTTGCGTCGGTGGGGGAGGATAAAAAGATAATTTGGTTTTATCAACTGAGTTGATAATGTAAATTGGCCACCGTAAAGAGTTTCTAAGCTGAAGTTGAGTTCATCAGAGCGAATCAGGGATAACACTCGAAACGTCAGCTTAGAAACTCTTTACTGAGGCCAATTTACATTATCAACTCAGTTGATAAAACAGACTATCTCGTTAGTATTTTAGACAAGCTTTCGATTGACAGCCTTAAGAAGGAGAAAAAAACAATTGTTTGATCAGATTAAGAGAAACATTTTATGTTCATTTGTGAACTGATGCACAAACGCGGAAATAATTTGTGATAGACTGATTAACTTACATCTCTGCGGTATTGGGTGTTGAATTCCTACAAATACCTTACATCGATACGTTATAGTCATTATTCACAGAGTAGACGGTGGCAGTCACAAAATTTTCGATAAGCCTGCGCAACTTTCAAATATGCATCCTGTACGCTGTCATTTTGTAGTACAAAGTTTGGCTATTTTAAAATGGCATTTCATTGGTTACCTAGTAACTGTTCAAATATTTTGTCAACAGCTGAAACGGAAGCCGAGGGAATGGGTGATGGGGAACGTTGATGACATCTCTGAACGTCTTCATGGATAATTTTTGCGAAATGAATGCATTTTTTTCTGTTGACCACAGAATTTTGAGAGTAATTTCTTTATCGTTTAATGGGAAGTATTCAGGTGTTTGAACTTAACATGAAGTACCCTCTGTTTGAATTAATTGCTGTTAGAGAAAAGTCACTGATTACATAAGTACTGCTGACTGCGCATGTTCTCGAAAGATTTGCTTCGAAGGCAAATTGTCCTCGACTTTTGACTGAAAGATACAAGGTAAGTTATTATCTTGTTTATTATCTCACAGATAGTTCTTCATTTCGTTTGTCTGGCTTCTGCCATCAAATCTGATGATGATGAAACAAAGCAGAAGTGCTTGGCTCCGAGCTTATTTTCTCTGTCTTGTCTAATTTCCGTTTCTTAGCAGATTTCCGACTCTTGTTTTAGAATACTAATCTCAGTGCGCCTCTTATCCAAAATTTTGTTTCAACGAGCCAGTTCGCAACAAAAAAAGTATTCAAAGAAAACGAAGATCGATGTTATTCGCCTTTTCACGAACATGGGAGAAAAAAAATTTGAGTGTGTCGTCAAGAGAAATCCAGCTCCCGACCATCAGACTCCGAAGTATGCAGAACGCATGTCACACGAACTTGTTCATGGCTTAACTCAACACAAAGCTCTGAAGGGCTCAGTATTAGAAGTTAAGCAGATGCAATTGATATTGGCATTCGGTTTTGACAGGAGGCGTCTTAAAGTTTTTTTTTAATCTAAATATGCAATTAGTATTCGAGTAGGTGAAAACAGAACATATGACAAATCTGCTGGTGAATATGAATTTTTCTACCCGTGTTGCGGAAAATATCTCTCGCTCGTGATATAATCAACATTCGAATATAAAATTCGTATCCATGTGCAGCCTTGAAATATCCTCTCGAAAACGTTTTTATTCCTATCTCTGATAACTATGTTGATATATAAGGAGCATACCGGAAATTTCAAGTCAAAACCGCATGATTTTAAAACGCTCTGTCTACATGCCCGGCAGCTAGGCATGTTTTCTGCACGTCCTTTAAAACTTCTTAAAGTATCGGAGGTTTGTTTAGAAATGTCACTTGATTTCAACAACTGGTCATCTGTTTGAAGAAACATCCTTGGGCAAAATGTACATGGGCACCATTAAACCGAAAAAGATAGGAGAGGACACATTTTAGTGTGAACTTGTAAATGAGTAGAAAACAAATATTGTCATTTTGGCGTTCTTTTTAAACCGAAAAAGAAAGATCTCACCCACAGACACACACCTGCACGAGCCTTCGTCATGAGGTTAAATATGTCAAATTAGTCACAGATGACTTGAGTGCTCCAGTCCCCTCTCCCTATTGGGCAACCTTTGCGTCTTTATTTTTAGCCGGTCTCCGTAAAATTACCCTGGCTTGCTTTTAAGTAGACGAACTTACAGGCTAATTCTACTCTAGGACACACAGCTAAAGCCGATCCCTAAGGTGTTTTGAGAGTTGACTGTAATCAATTTACTAAAATTGTACTTCATGTAAATCTTTTATTGGGGAGCTGCTCTTTACGTACTAATTTAGAGCGAGTTGTGAATTATTAACTCTAAATCACTTTATAACTGACATTTACTCACACTTAGACTTTACATAATTGTCAACGGACTGAGTGTAAACGAAGGTTCAAAAACACCAGTTTCCTTCACTTTGGTGAGCTACGGCACCGAGTATGATTACAGACAGAATTGGATTACACGAAGTCCTATTACTAATTAATCATAACCATTACAATTTACGAAAAAAAAAACACGTGTAGAGCAAATATCTCCAATGAAGACAATCTTTAAAGTTAAAATTCGTCCATTTTAGAAATTCCCCAGAACGATTAGCTGCTTCAACTGTCCGATTACAGCCTATTGTCCAATTACACCGTCTGATTACAACTCAAAAAAATAATTAGTGAAGAACAAAGCAGTTAGTGCATTAATCTCATTTGATGAAATTGTAATGGTTATGATTAGTTTAGGTGATTTTCCTTTCGCCATTCTACTGTTACAATCTCATCAGTTTGTTTAATGATTTGGGCCAAGTTGGGGGCCGGTTAAATTTTTGAAAAAAAAATTGTCTAAATAATGGGATGGTTATTTTTGTTTAGTTTTTGGAGGACTGAGCTTATTTTGATGAAATTAGTTTGGCAACTTGGTTAGTTTCATTGTCCTATAACTCAACTTATGCCAGACTCATTTTGCGACTCAAATACCGAAAATATGCAAAAGTTCTCTACGCTCAGAGGGGAGGTTATTTTGCAAACAATTTCTGAAAAGTACAACGAGAAAATCGGAAGAACTGAAGTAGAGACCCTGCCGAGCAGTTTATGGCTCATTGTAACCCGAAATTCTTCATATTATTTTAGCTGCTTTACTAAGGTAAAAATGTGAGGAACACTGCTCCTCATAGTGTATTGCCTTAATAAATACAGGCGTATTCCAACAGGTTTCAAGGACGAAATAGCAAGTCATAGTACTTTTAATGTTAAATGGGTATCAGAACCTGTATTTGCTATGTTAGCCCGCTTGTTTAGTAATGACAATAGAAATGGTAACCACAATTTTTTTTAATGTCTGCTTTAGCTGATTTAGCCAAGTGAGAATTTGGAAATTGCCTCAGTTTAACAGCATTCAGACAACGATCTTCCTGGAGAAACATGAATGGTTCAGTCACCACCAATGAAGGTTCTTCAATTTCTCATTTAATAAATGGACTTTAGGTTTACAAATTATCCTCTTGACAATTCAGTATGACACTCAGACTTATAATTTCTGCGGCTCTTAACACACCTTCCTGTACTTTTTGTCAATGCTTTTTTACTCAAATTAAATTTTAAATTTTTTTTATGCGACGGATATTGTTTTCAATAAGATACATATTTTTTTTGCAGACACCTTGGGTAGTTTACAAGAACCTGTCACACAAAGACACATATTGTTGATATGCGATGAAGTAGGTACAGCCTGGAGAGACCTGGGTGCTGAGTTAAGGCTTGGATCGCCTGTGGTTCGTAATCTTACTTTTGATTGCAACTCAAACCGCGATAGAGCGTGGGAAGTGATCGATAAGTGGAGACAGAGCAACCCAAATGAAGCAACTGTAGGAAATCTTGCAGATGCTCTAGTGAAGATAGGGATGGGAAAAGCCGCCCAAAAGCTAGTTGGTGCGTAATCTATTGTTTTCATGGGAACTCACTTAGGGCCAGGTCCAACTTTTTCCGAGAAATAAGCGCAGGAGGTTTCATTTCTAACGCAGTTAAGAACAGGCAGATTTTGAGGTGTACTTGGATATAAGAATAAAAAATGATGGGTAGAATTTTTGTTGAAAGTAGTGGTTCGTGAGGATTTTTAACGCACAGCTTTGCCAAGGTTATGCGCTCAAGTTTAACGTGAAAACACTAAACTATTTCACCATTAGCAAATCTTATGCGTGCATGTAAATAGCCCCAAGTCAGAAATCCTTTCCGGAATCGAGCACGATGTTACCAGTGTGAGGATATTTATCTAGTTTTTTAGTAAACAGCTTATAACCATACTATCCTTGGTAATGATCTGAAACTCTTTTGTCTCTTTCAATGCAGGAACGGAAAACGTAAAGGCAGATAAAATAAATATAGAAAAAAGGTTGCTATGTCTAGAGACAAAGGTTGAATGGCTGGAGATGGAAAAGTCAACTGAAAAAAGCGTAAAGCAAGGTCCGACGCGCGAGAACACTTGCAAAGGGAAAATCTCCGACGAGATTGACAAGGATCCATGCGTGATGCAAGAGAACATCAAGATTGTCTGTGAAAACGAGAAAATGCCAGTCGGTAGATCATCTGAGCTGGAAAACAATACATCAGATGAAGGGAACGAGAGGCATTTGAATGGAAGACTGGAGGAAATCAGATTGGCAGATCGAATCCAGAAAGACACCATGGAGAGAGATCAGGCGAGCCAAAGACGTAATGGAGTGGAAGTACAACAATGGTATGACGGTAAGCATTCATACTGCTTTCAAAGCCGAGTCAACTGAAATTGGACGATTGATGAATCACCAAGCGATATTGTAGTAACAACATTTTTTTCTTAGTTCATTTTATAAAATATGAAGCACGACATTCGTTAGGAAAGTATGCCAAGTGTGTTGACATTTATTAATCGGTTTAGAAAAGTTACTACCGTTAGGGACTGGGAATGTCAAATGTTTCATATTTCTTTGCTTTTCCAAAATTTTAAACTTTTTACAGCACTAGTGAGTGGTCTTATCTTATTCAATTTATTTCAGTGTTTGATAGTCTTATATTATAATTCTAGTTTGTCTTTTTTCCTTCATCCAAGGCTCTTGTCCGATCACTACTTCACTGAAAGTTTTGTTCCTAGGTTGTCATTGACGTAATGTTTGAATTGAATTAAATTGAATTATTCTAATCTGAAGGTTGTTTTTTTAGAAATGCATATATGTTTGCGATGCCCTAATTTGAAGAAGGAACTCAACGATTTAAAAACAGAAACAGACGCATTAAAAAACAAAATCAGCCAACTTGAGCAAATGCGCGTAGAAGACGAAAAAGAAAAAGAAAAGAAAAGGAAGGACACGAAAAGGAAGGAAAAGATAATCAGAAAAAACAACACCAAAATCGCTGACTTAGAGAAAACGAATAAAATACAACTAGATCACATAGAGAGGTTAAAAAGAATAAATGAAAAGATTAAGAAGAAGAAAAGAGATCTTGTGGAAGAAAATGAAAAAATGGTGGAACAGATTGGAGAGCTAAAAGCCGATAAGGAGGAACTAAAATTGAAGTTACAATTTCAAACATATCCAGAGGAGCTGGATCAGCTAAAAACTGAAAATGGTGACCTGTCAAGTCAAGTAGAGGAGCTCAAGAAAAAAGTGGAAAGCTCTGAGTCAGAATACAAGAGGCTACAAGAGAAGCTTAAGAAGTACAGCAATTTCCAAAGTCGTAAGTACATATGAACTAAGATAAATGTGCTGTGATATCCGCTGCTAATTTGTTTCATTTTAAGGTTGTTTGGCCTTGTGTTAACCCTAACACCATAAAATAACATTTATTTACCATTAAAAATGACATGTTTGATGGTAAGTGAACAGGACAGTAGTTCGACTTTTAATCAATAATAGACCCTATTTCCTCACGATTTATACGTCGATCAATTCCAACCTTCAACATTCCCCCCTCCCCCCGGGCAACCCCCCGGTGATTTAAACTTTTGAAGATTGGTTTGTTCGAATTTCGGCCCTCCGGGGCCAAAATTGTGTTCAGACGGTCCTTCCCAAAGGCGAATTTGACTATCACTTCTTTTTGTAAAAGGCAAATCTAAATCAGCGACCGTGACTTTCCACATATTGACCAACATTTAAAGCATGGACCTTGTAAACATTTTCTTCTGAGCCATTCGCTGGCGAAAGTGAACTCATTACCTTAAAACACCTCCATATTTCAAGATAAAACACTTGTATTCCGCCAGAAAGACTTGATATCTTCAGGTTCAAATTCCTTTCATCCGAGCAGGGGGGGGGGGGGGGGGGTGTTGAAGCATCGAGTCGATCAGTTTACTATTAGGTAATACTCCCTTACAATTTTTCTGAGAGAAACGAAAAAAAATTTGCAAGGCGTAAGTAGAAGAATAGTGACCAAGAAGTGACCAAGAGAAACTACCTTCCATTGCTTTCGTGATATGGCTTTGGGTTAACTGCAATGGTTTGTAATTTCTTGGTTAACTGTCACAACAGGTTGTGACAGATCAGAGTGCGCGCTGTCTCTTAGTCATTTTATTATCTCCAAAACTGAATAAATGAACAAATGATCAATTGAATCGATGAATATAGAAACGAAATGATAGATTGATAACCTGATAAACGTAATAATAGATGGTTGTTAAATGCCAGATGATGAGGAAAGAGGCTACGTCGTTATTTTATTTATTTATTTTTTACTCTCAGGGGTTTTCTTACCGACTGGAAAGGAATTTGCCGGCAACTGCCCTGGTGTCATATGCTTCCTAAAGAGAGACGCTTCTGTAAAGCTGCGTGCTTCTAGATCTTCTGATGGCCCGGGAGAAGCAAGTGACATATTAAACCATAAGAAAGGCGCCATTAGTGGAACAGCGGAAAGAGAAAATTCATGGTGGTCCATTGATCTGGGCTTGAGCCATCGACTCATAATCACACACTACTCTTTGAGACAAGGCAAAACGCATGGGGAGTCAGCACTTACCGATTGGCAACTAGAGGGATCTTATGATGGAAAAAACTGGGAAGAACTTAAAACTATTTGCAACGGGAAGGATCCACAGTTCGTCGCTCCTCCTCCATTTTATACAGGTACCTGGCCTGTCGGAGGGGAAATACCGGCTTTTCGCCTTTTTCGAATTTTCCAGACGGGTAGAAATTCCTCTGGTAGATATGGAATACATCTATCTGGAATTGAGCTGTACGGAGTACTTCTGAACATATAAGACCTAACAGCTACCAAGGCTTTAACTTTTAAAGTTTTCATCAAGCAGTGGAGATAAAAATAGTACCTCTCAGGAGGCAAGGTCTGTGTAAGACTTCCTATTAAAAGTGTCTTTGAGTCTTAGTTTTGCAACATTGAGAGTATTGGAGGTTCTCAATGGAGTGATGGCTTTTACGACTAACGGTTAATATCTTCCCATTGTTGTCACCATAAATTTGTAAGTATTACAATATAATCTGTAAGGCATGTAAACAATCATCTTACACATGAGCCTTAGCGATAGAGTGTCAATCTTCGTCTGCTCGCGTTTTTTTTACGAAGAACTCATTCACCTAGGAAATAAGTGGGTTATTGAATTTTCCAAACCTGGAGAGAAGGGAAGAATTATGAAACTGCTAATAATCTGTTAATAATAAGGAGCGTAGTTTTCTAAAGTGTTACGTGGATTGTCAGCCTATTTTTCAAAAACCTCCTCATTAGTATTTCTGACAAGCTTTCAGTGGATATACTTTAAGTGGGGAAATAAAAGATCACTTGATTATACATGCATTTTGAAAGGTTCTTACTCATTATCTTTTGGAGGACAGAAGTTTAGAGGTCGTCCCCATTAACAATAATTTAGCCTGTAGTGCAGGCGTCTTATTAGGGCGAGTTAACGTTATAAGCTCGCGATCGTCTATTCGACCGGCCATGTTTTATTTAGAGTTAGAGTGGACGGTAAAAGTAATCTTCACTCCCCCACCCCACCCTTCTCCTTATTTTTGACCGTCAACCGCCCTCTTAGTAGAGATTTTTTTCTCTCCTCTGCCTTCTGCTGTCATTTCAATTAAAGATGGCGGCCATAATTTTCGTTGATAAAATTCTGAGCACTTGCTCTTTACCTTTTTTATCATATAAAACAAATAGATTCCATGTTGCCGCGGGTCTGTACAGTAAATATATAGATTAAGACATAGATCAATTTCTGCACCGAACATGTCATCCCAAACTATCAATGAGATCATATTGCAGTCACGCACTTGGCCTGAAATCCGAACACCTGAAGAAGCTAATTGTTCAGATAATGTAAATTGACCATCGTAAACTTTTTACGATGGGCGATTTACATTACCAACGCAGTTGGTTAAAACCAAATTTTCCAAGTTTCTAGATAGTTTGTGCATGGGATCTTAGGGCAATGCCTAGTTTCTAAGCCCCTTCGTCCGAGTAGTGATTCCAAACTTTGGCAACTCAGAGAGTAATATTTCCTTACACAGATTGTTTAAATGATGTATAATAAAACAATTACTAAATTCGGGTTTTGCGTTATATCTGCCTCAGCCTTCAGCTTAGGAAGAAAACTCATACCTTGGCTTTGATAGTTCATGATATCATGCTCAACCTCATCCAATAATTGTTTATTGTTCTCTGGAAGTTGAATGAACGACAGTAAAAACTTAAACACACTTGTCAGTGTTTGATGGGAAAAATGGTTGAGTGTGTCTGTGTAATTACACGCTTGAGAGAGTATGTTATCAAGTAATCCTGATCATCTTTCATAAAAAACTGAAGCGAATTGTCTGCATTTTCAAACTGACCAGTGAAGTAGGCAAGTCTTCACCAAGATATGAACTTATGAGCTAGTTGCTTTGTTAAAATTTCTCATTTCGAGAACAATGTTGCTGAATCACAGAAATGCATTGATTCAAGTGCAAATTACCTTTTAAATATTTCAAAATCTGCCAGAGTTTACAATAGGTCCTTGAGTTCCCTCCACTCGACGGTGTGTGATAATAGAAAGATAGTAGATCTGGGGAACGAAGTTGCTGAATTGGTAGAAATGCATTGATTCAAATGCAAATTATCTCTTCAAATATACCAAAATCTGCCATAATTTACTATAGGTACTTGAGTTCCCTCTATAACAGCATTCTGCGGTAAGGGCATCATGTGAGTTTAATTATCTCAACTGAAAATCAGTGCCGTAAGCGTTCTCTATAAGTTACTTTTGTGGTGCGCAATTCGTCAGGATCAATTTCAACGGTAAGCCTTACCTTAAGAATAGTCAGTATATGGTTTGAACCTAGTAGTAACTGTCGATCGTGTAGTCTGATCGAACTAGGGAGAGTAGTCTTCAAAAAGACTATTGTCGATAACGTTAAAGTCACTGACGTTTGGACAACCTCAGGCAGGGGAAAAAGTCATAAGGGACAAGTTATAGCGACCTAAGCTTAAGAGTAGTCTTAGACTCTCTAGAGTAACATTTTGTCAATTATAATCAGCATGAAGAGAACCTTATCATCCTTTTAAAACATCCGTGTCTCAAGACAGGGAAGTAGAGACTTCATCCAAGAAAATGTGTATGTTCGAGATCGGAGAGGACCCCAAACACCCTAGCAAAAGTCGGTTCTGGTTACACGATTTTATTTTTCAAACTAGTATTTATGGAAAAACCCCCGCAATGGCATTCAAAGACAACATAAAAATAATAAGACTGTGTGTTCTGCCATTAATTCTCTTCCGTTCATGCTTCGTGGTCCCAAGTAAAAAATATCAACAAACAAAAGATTAATGCACAGCAACAATTTCTACTCGTAACAGATACTGCGACCAACCTTATCAAATAATACTTTGAGAAATGTAACTTGATGCCAGGACAAGACAAATGCTGTGATTGAATTGATTGATCATGTAGACGTAATTGCTATAATACGCGGAAAACTTTCCTAACGAAAAGAAACCATAGCAACACGTTCAATAAACTTTGTTCCTAATTATCATGGCAAGTTTGACTCCTCCGTTTCATAAAGAGAGGCGAGAAGGTTTCAAAGAATGAGAAGTTGTGATAAAATGAAAAATCAAAACCAACGGGGCTCCAGAATGTTGAAGAAAATGAAGCAATTTATGGTTATTTAAAGATGATACTTAGCATCACACAGGAAGCCCGACATCATCAATCATTCGTAACCATTGAAGCGGGCAAACTTGAATGGTTTGTGAAATTAATTGTCAAGTATTTGTTCTGCAAGGGGGTATGTAAGGGATTGCATTGTTTGGTGTAATAATAATGAATGCTACTCGAAAACGAAAGTAATCTTTGAAGAGCATCGGGAACACGGCCTGTCTTGGACAAAAACATAATCTTCCTAATTGGAATCGATATGTATTGTATAGATTGAGAATTTTCAACTGCTAAAATATAGGTTCAGTATGAGCGATGAAAATACGTCTTGATACAATTCGTATCACCTTTTTCTGGAGTAGGACAACGCGTTGCAATGCATTCCTTGAAAGAAAAAAAGAAGGCCTGATTGTGGGTTAACTTCAATCCTGACAGGTAGTGTTTTTTTCTTTCCAGCAGCTAATTTAGCTTAGTCAGAAGCTGGAAATAACCAGAAACGGGATTAAAACTGATTCTCCTGGACGGATGGATGATTCAGAAGCCAGAAATGAAGGTTTTTATGTTCATAAATTCATAGAATGGTATCAGTTTTACTCATAATTATCCCTTCCAAGTCGTTACTTATTATTATGAAATATGGCATTAGGAGTTATAATTATTGCGGCTCTTTTTAAGTCTCATTTTTTTTTCAACTGATGTTTACTTGTTTTGCAGCCACCTCTAGTGATATAGCATTTGGACAGGCTCCTGTCACTGAAATCCACATACAGTCAATATGTGGTAAAGTGGGCACAGAATGGAGAGATCTGGGTACAGTCTTACGGCTTGAATCAGCGTTGATGAATATTATTGAGGCTGATCTCAGCGAATGCCGTGAAAGGGCACGGAAAGTGCTTCAAAAGTGGAAACAAAAAAACGGAAATAGAGCAACAGTTGGAATCCTTATAAATGCTCTTAACGAGATAAATAGGAAAGACGTCGTCGAAAAACTGCTCGGTATGTAATCTCCTCTTGTGAAGAAAATCTCTCAATACTAGGTTTATCTAGATCTATTTACTTTCCTAACGAAAAAACTGAACACCTATGTAGGAAAAGATCTTCGAACGAAAGTCTTGGTGGCCTTGTCAAGGAGGCTTCATTTTAGATGAAGATCGCGCTGCGAACAGTTTTTATTGTGCCTTCCTTCTAGGATGGCCTGAGGCGCTATGTAGTGCTGTGTCCTGTAAGTCCATAAACCTTCCCCACGCCCTTCACGGTTTTCAAAATGGTTTCACGAGACACTCATAAAGTCTCTTGTGACTCGTCCTGGTTCTGCTCCGACACTAGCCATCATTGAACGAATCTGATCGGGTTTCTTCGGATTCATTTTTGGTTTTGTCGGGTTTAGTTCGATGTTTGCTAAGGGTCTCATCTCTGCATTTTGACATTGTTATCGACTTGAAGGTAAAAGATATGTCTTCAAACGTTCTCACGTGTGCGTTTTAATCTGAACACTTGAAAACATATCCTTTGAAGAAGAATGTAAATTGTAAGGAGAAAAAATTGAAAAGAAACCACAACAAAAGGACAACAATAAGTTGACGCGGCCAGGGCTCAAAGCTTAAGCTCAAACTTTCGGACTCGAAAGGAGTAGGTACATCCATCGTGCTAGGGACGAATGGCGTGCGAATGTTAGCGAAGTTTTGTATATCAATACATTGGACGCACATTAAATATATATACCTATTCGATTAATTTACCTGCCCTCGGCCTGTAAATTTACAGTGTACAAACTCTATTCTAACCAAATCCTCCTTTTGTCAAAATTTTGGCATTGACAAGAGCTTTTCATTAACACCTTTACATTTTGTACCACGTTGCTCTTTTTACTGCAATACTCTACAACTGTACAACGGTAGGCACATGCAGTGCACCAAGAAAGTGGTATCTAATTAAACGTAGCCTTAAGTTAAAGAAAACCAAAGTTAAAGCAAATGGAATCTTTGCTTGCAGAAGGTAATAGGTTGTAGCATTGTCGTGGAAGCTTAAAGCCCTTAAACTCGAGTTAGATCTCCTCAAATAATTGAAGAAATTGAACTAGTCCACCACTGCAATTGCATATGCCAACATTTGAGTAATTG